CACAGCACCACGACCACGATGGCCCCTGCGGGGTGGCCGCCTCTGCCTGTCATTTTTGTTGGGATTAGTGGTACTATGCGTGCAAGCTACTGTGAGACCAGATATGAGTGGCAATGTGCACTGGCACAGTTGTGCAGAGCACAGGCTGTAGGCCTGACACCCACTTGAAGATAACTAACTGCTATTCAATCTATAACAGTGAAAAAAGATTTTTGTTTTTTTAAATCCAAGCTATTGTGACACCAGATCTAATTAGTGGCACTGACTGGGAAATGGCACAGTATGCACTGTGAGCCTGACACAGAAGCTGGCAGCAGTGGCAGACAACTGACTGCTATTCAATCTTATAACAGTGAAAAAGTTTTTGTTTTTAAATTCAAGCTATTGTGACACCAGATGTACTAGCACTGACTGGGGAATGGGCACTGTGAGCCCACACAGAAGCTGGCAGTGGCAGACAACCAAGTGCATTTACATAGAAAAAATAAATAAAAAAAAAGCATACCCTTATCCCTAACCTAGCTATGCTTTTCCTTATCTTATGAACAGCAGCTACACTTTCCCTCCTCTTACTAAGCATGCAGCTTGAGAATTAATCTAAAATGGATGCCTTCCAGGAGGTGGGAGGGTCTGCTAGGGAGGCTGCGCTGCTAATTGGCTGGAATGTGTCTGCTGACTGTGAGGTACAGGGTCAAAGTTTACTCAATGATGACGAATAGGGGGCGGGTCGAACCGCGCATATGTTCGCACGCCGTGGCGAACGCGAACATGCTATGTTCGCCAGGAACCGTTCGCCGGCGAACCGTTCGGTACATCACTACACTGGATGTGTGAGAAAGCTTTATTTTTCTCAGGGTGGAAGTTGAGCAGGGGTGATTAATTGGCCATCGCCCACTCATGTGGTCCTTAGAAAAAGTAGTGATCATCATTCAGTATGGAGATGTGGGTTTATTTTTCCTTTTACAATAAATAAGCTATAGGAATGATTGGGTAGTGTGTAAAATTGAACAACTTTATTCAGCAAAAATAGGTATTTGGATTGCAATGGGTTAGTACTTTGTGGATTTACTGCTATACCAATGGCGGACGCCACATGCACTCCAACCCACTGTGGGGAAGCGCCCGATATCCTAGCAAGGCTGGCAAGCACCTTCGATGTCTTCTGGAGGAAATTGGCACACAGATTAAAGCAAGCTGCAACACACACAGCAGACGACTGCTTGCCTGATATGCTGGACCGAGGCATGCTGGCATCCAGCGCTTGAGAAAGCGACGTCTCCCGCCTGCACACAAACCTACTCAACGGCGCGAAGATCATACCTACCGCAGGTACTTGCTTCTCCACAAAGCAGCCATATTGCAACAAAGACAGCGGGCTAACACCAGAACTCCTGCCCTCTTTGAGATACCGGGGGGAACCCTGACTGTGTTGAGAGGCCTAAACTGCCAACGCTCCTCAAGCTATGACTGCCCATAACACTCCTCCTGGCTCCTGGGCCTACAGGACTCATTGGTCACCCACCTTACCTTCTGGGGATATCGGGGCCAAGTCTGCCTACCTCACCAGCTCTTCCTATATACTATATTGCCTATATGTCTTACGTGCATAGCATGCTAACTACTTTTTTTATATTTGATATTTTGAAAAATATAATTTACAAATGTTACAGAAAAATATTTATTTGAAAAGCTTATCCAAAAACATTAAATCAAGGCTCATATTAAAATTAATGTAATACTGATATTTTAGATTTTTTATAGTTTGGTAATATGGGATTAATGTTCTGTTAAAAAAACACCTACCATTTTATTGGGGATACAAGTGTTACAACACATATTATACATATAATACATCTCAAAGCACATATCTTCTAGTGTAGCCTATCTTTAATAATACAAGATATAAGATGAGAAATCCAACAAGAATTAAATGAGAAACTCGCAACATTTTCTAGCCATACTGCTTGACACTCATATAATTGTCTACTAAAATGTCTTTACAAGGTGCCATGTTTTATTATTAACATACTAACCCTGGCACCTTCACACTTGACACACGTGATTGTTCGTATTATATTTCTTTAACTGTACACTCTCTTAGGTCCCAAGTTGAGACCTCTAGTTTAGCCTGTGTTTTAATACCATAAAAACATGCATCTTTCTCACATGCTATGACACTGTATCTAGATGTATGTACCAAGTGCTTGTTACTGCAGTCGTAGCATAACAAGCTTGTATGTCTATCTATGCACTATGAAAATAAAGAACTTTAAAAAAAAAAAAGGGAAATATATCTGTTTGTACTAAAGAGCTTTTCAGCCACCAAAGGGCTGTATTCAGGGCTGGCGCTACCTGTTAGGTGGACTAGGCAGCCGCCTAGGGTGCCCCTTGAGAAGGGGCGCCGCCAGGAGCGCTGGCCTCCCTCATGCTGCAGGAAATTGGAGGGGGGGGGAGAATGAAACTGGAGGGGGAGAAGAAGAAGCTAGAGGGAGAGAAGGAGGTGGAGGGAGGGTGAGAAGAAGTGGAGAGGGAGAAAGGAGGAAGTGGAGAGACAAGAGGAGAATTAGAAGGGGAGAAGGAGAAGTGGAAGGGGAGAAAGAAATTGGAGAGGCAAAAAGAGAGAGGGAGAAGAGAGGAGAGAATTAGAGAGAGGGGAGAAAAAGAAAGGAAGAGGAGGAGAAGAAGGAAGTGGAGGAGGGAGAAAAGGAGGGTGGAGATAGGTAGGAGAAGAAGGGAGATTGGAGGGGGAGAAAGAGAAAATGGGAGGGGGGAGAAAGAGAAAATGGGAGGGGGGAAGGAAATTGGAGTGAGAGGAGAGATTGACATTCATCACATACACACAATGCACCCCTTGCACACAGAAAAACACACAATGCATTACACACACAGACACACATACACAAGCAATGCAACCGTTACACACAATGCATCCCTTACACACACAGAAACACACAATGCATTCATTACACACACACTCAATGCA